CCCCTATACCTTTGCATCGCTACACCAGAGGTGTCAAACTGGTGCGCCCTCTCCGGGTGCCCAACTGTCGCTAAACTACTAGTCCCCATGGATGCAATGCAAGAATGACATTCTAAGCATGATTCCCAAAGACAGAGGCATGAAGGACTCTGTAGTTTTGGCAGCAGCCTGGAAGGGCCAACCCAGTTGAACACCCCCTGGCTTACACGTTATGAGAACTCAGGACAGTACCTATCTGGATTAGGAGGTGAATATGCCGTTCAATTATTACCACACGACAAGTCTGCAGTTTTGAATCTGTCTAATCTATGAGGCCTTCCTCTTTCAAATAAATAACAATCGTGTAATATTTTCATGATTGGATTTATTTACTTGTTCTTTACTTTTTTTCTTGTTACTTCTATAAATCTTTTTGGGACTGTAATATAATGGTCTTATGTTCTGCTTTTATTTTTTGGTCCAAAAAATATATCCTAACACAGCCAACCTACAGCCCCTGTTCGCCCATCACCCCATTCCTTTCCTATCCACACCCACACTGAAACCTGAGGCGAACGCTACCTTGGATTCGAGGTAGAAATGCGTTTCCACATTACAGACAACATCCAGGCTGAATCTGTCTGTTTATAGGATCCCTCACCGTTGTGTAATATTCCATGATTGGATAATGAAGTTTGCGCTTCCTTTGCTTGCTTGTCCAGTCAGAAACACGTCTGACAGATGTCCACAGACCGAATTGTTTCAAGCTGCGGTACCTGGAAGGAGGAAATTAATGGGAAAAAAATGAATCTGCTGTTCTGAAGTTTGAAGGAAAGAGTCAAAGTAAGGATCCAAGAGAGGCATTTTATATTTTAGTCAGGGATTTCTTCCCACTGACCACCAATGAAAGCACCATTCTTCCAACTGGTCACCATCGTAAGAGGGGACAATTTCTTCCAACTGACCACCAATGTAAAGCCACCATTCATTCCCACCTGACCTCCAATGTAAAGGGACATTCTTCCACAATGACACGACAACCAATGTAACACCATTCTTCCCACTGACCACCAATGTAAAAGAGACCCACCCATAATAAGCGGACATTTCTTACCCCACTGACCACCAATGTAAGGAGACGCATTCTTCCCAACTGACCACCCAATGTAAGCACCATTCTTCCCACTGACCTCCAATGAAAGGAGGACAATCTTCCCACTGACCACCAATGTAAGTACATTCCTCTTCCCACTGACCACCAATGTAAGGAAACTCACCATTCTATTCCCACTGACCACGCAATGTAAGGAACAGTGTGCACCTTCCTTCCACTGACCACACCAATGTATGTAAGGGAGCATTCCTTCCACTTCCACACAATCTAAGGGACATTCTTCCCGCTAACCACCAAATGGTCAAAGGCGACCATTCTTTCCCACTGACCACCCATGCTAAGGACCATTCTTCCCGGCTAACCAACCAACCAATGTAACGCGAGGACACCTCTTCCTTCCGCTGAACCTGCCAATCGTAAGGACGCATTCTATTTCCCGCTAGACCACCAATCTCAAGGGACAGTCATGTCCGCGACAAACCACCAATGTAAGCGACATTCTTTCCCACTAGACCACCAATGTAAGGAGCATTCTTCCCACTGACCACCAATGAATAAGCGGGACATTCTCCCACTGACCACCAATGTAAGGAGCATTCTTCCCGCTAGACCACCAAATGTTAAGGGACATTCTTCCCGCTGACCACCAATTCAAGTAAGAGGATTTCATTCTTTCCCCCGCTGCGCCGCCACCACCAAAAATGTAAGCGACCATTCTTCCCACTGACCATCCAATGTAAGGGCATTCTTCCCACTTGACCACACATGTAGGCATTCTTTCTTCCCACTGATCTCACCCAATGTAAAGCATTCTTCCCACTGACCAACCAATGTAAGGACATTCCTCCACTGACCACCAATGGTAAGCACCATTCTTCCCACTGACATCCAATGTAAGCAACCATTCTATTCCCACTGACCATCCAATGTAAGCACCATTCCACTGACCACCAATGTAAGGACATTCTTCCCACTGACCACCAATGTAAGGGATCATCTCTTCCGCAGCCTGATCATCCAATTGTAAGAAGCACCATTCTTCCCACTGACCACCAATGTAAGGGGACATTCTTCCCACTGACCACCAATGAGTAAGGGATCATTCTTCCCACTGACCTTCCCAATGTAAGGGACATATTACTTTCCCACTGACCACACCAATGTAAGGACATTCTTCCCCACTGACCCACCAATGTAAGGGACCATTCTTCCCACTGACTCACCAATGTAAGGAGCATTCTTTTCCCACTGACCTTCCAATGTAAGGGACATTCCTTAAGCACCATTTCCCACTGACCACCAATGTAAGACCATTCTTCCCACTGATCACCAATGTTAAGGGACATTCTTCCCACTGACCACCAATGTAAGGGACATTCTTCCCACTGGATCCCATCCAATGTAAGGGACATTCTTCCCACTGACCACCAATGTAAGGGGCATTTCTTCCCACTGACCTTCCAATGTAAGGACATTCTTCCCACTGACCACCAATGTAAGGACATTCTTCCCACTGACCCCCAATTAAGGAACATTCTTCCCACTGATCACCAATGTAAGGGACATTCTTCCCCACTGAGGACCACCAATGTAAGGGACATTCTTTCCCACTGACCACCAATGTAAGGGACATCATCTTCCCACTGACCACCAATGTAAGGGACATTCTTTGACCCCCACTGACCACCAAAGTAAGGGACATTCTTCCCACTGACCCCCAATGTAAGGGACATTCTTCCACTGAATGTAAGGGCATTCTTCCCACTGATCACCAATGTAAGGGCATTCTTCCCACTGACCCCCCAATGTAAGGGACATTCTTCCCACTGATCACCATGTAAGGACATTCTTCCCCCACTGACCACCAATGTAAGGGACATTCCTTCCACACTGAACCTTCCAATGTAAGGGACATTCTTACCACGAAATGTAAGGGACATTCTTCCCACTGACCCCCAATGTAAGGGACATTCTTCCCACTGACTCACCAATGTAAGGGGCATTCTTCCCACTGACCCCCAATGTAAGGGACATTCTTCCCACTGACCACCAATGTAAGGGGCATTCTTCCCACTGACCCCCAATGTAAGGGACATTCTTCCCACTGACCACCAATGTAAGGGACATTCTTCCCACTGACCCCCAATGTAAGGGACATTCTTCCCACTGACCACCAATGTAAGGGACATTCTTCCCACTGACCACCAATGTAAGGGACATTCTTCCCACTGACCTTCCAATGTAAGGACATTCTTCCCACTGATCACCAATGTAAGGGACATTCTTCCCACTGACCCCCAATGTAAGGAACATTCTTCCCACTGATCACCAATGTAAGGGACATTCTTCCCACTGACCCCCAAATGTAAGGGACATTCTTCCCACTGACCACCAATGTAAGGGCATTCTTCCCACTGACCCCCAATGTAAGGGACATTCTTCCCACTGACCACCAATGTAAGGGACATTCTTCCCACTGACCCCAATGTAAGGGACATTCTTCCCACTGACCACCAATGTAAGGGACATTCTCCCCACTGATCACCAATGTAAGGGACATTCTTCCCACTGATCGCCAATGTAAGGGACATTCTTCCCACTGATCACCAATGTAAGGGGCATTCTTCCCACTGATGATCGCCAATGTAAGGGGCATTCTTCCCACTGATCACCAATGTAAGGAGCATTCTTCCCACTGATCGCCAATGTAAGGGACATTCTTCCCACTGACCCCCAATGTAAGGGGGTTCCCCTAGACTTGAAATGTATTTCAAGGGTTCCTGTGGGGTAAAACGGTTACAAAAGGCGGTTCTATTCTGTTATAGAACATATATGATATAAAAATGGTTTTCTTTACATTTTTATTATTTTTTTTTTTTTTTTAGAATATGCATTGAGCCCTTTGCTGTCCTTGGCAGAAATCTCTTTTCATGTGTTGCAAATGTTCCCGACTTTCCCTCCTATAGGAAAGAACGGCATTTTTTTCTGGTCGAACTTTTGCATGAACGTCTGGAGGAAAAGAAATGTGATCTCCAAACACGGAAAGGTTTCTTCACAGTGAGAGCTCTGAAAATGTGGAATAGACTCCCTCAAGAGTTGGTTGTGGCCAGCTCAGTGGATTGCTGTAGGAAAGTCCTGGATTCTTTCTTGGATACACAGAATATAACTGGATATAACATTTATAGGGAAAGTTGATCCAGGGAATATCCGATCGCCTCTCGGGGGACCAGGAAGGATTTTTTTCCCAGCAGGAGCAGATTGGATCGTGCTTTGCTGTTTTTTTTTTGCCTTCCTCTAGATCAACTGTAGGTGTAGGATTATAAGTTGTTTTTTTTTTTTTTTTTATTGGTTGAACTGGATGGACTTTTGTTTTTTTTCAGCCAGACTAACTATGTAAAGTCCGGACACTTTCACCCCCCTTCCAGTCCAGGCCAATTTTCAGCTTTGAATGACAATTGCACAGTCATGCGACGCCGTACTCGTATGATTTTTTAGCATTTTTTTGGAGACAGATAAAACTTTATTTTGGTGGTGTTTATTCACCCCTGGGATTTTTATTTTTTTGCTATATAAATGAAAAACTCCAAACATTTTGAGAAAAAAAAAGGGTTTGTCTTATAAAAATTTTGCAAATAAATAATCTTTCTTCATAAATCTTGGCTAAATTGTATTCAGCTATCTTTATAGTAAAAAAAAAGAAATAACCCAAATTAGTTTATAACCAAAAATGTTTATTTTGTTTAATTTTTTTTTTACATTTTTATTTTCATTTTTTATATTATTATTTATGTGGGGGTGATGAAGATTTTTTTTTTCTTTTTTTACACTGATTGCTTTTACACCTATAAAGGCTGTAAAAGCAATAATTTCTCCTTCCCTCTGACTGCATTTGAGAAATACTGTGAGAGCTGTGATTGGTCACAGCTTGTCACATGGTACAAGGCTGTTGTGAATAGCCCTGTACCATGTGATCTCTATGATGATTCACAGATTTCACAACCATTTCTTCTTCTTCAGCCATTGAGAAATACTGTGCGAGCTGTGATTGGTCACAGCTTGTCACATGGTACAAGGCTGTTGTGAATAGCCCTGTATCATGTGACCTCTGTGATCATTCACAGATTTCACTAATAGTAAGCAATGATGTCAGGAAGTGACATCTTGCTTACTACTATTCATGTGATCACTGATTGGCCAATCAGTGATCACATGATTGGGACCTCACACAGAGGTCCCGTACAGTGATCGGTATCCGGAGGACACAGCGGGCACCGGATTGCGGTGCTGCGTGCTCCCAGGGAATTAAAATGAGGGCGCCTTTTATGAACAGCAACCCGCTCCTGCACTGCTCCCGTCTGGCCGTTTATGTACATGGGCTGGACAGGAAGTGGTTAATGGCTGACTTTTGTCTTTTTTCAGCCAGACTAACTATGTAATGGGGGGCAGACATGGTGGCATAGGAAAAGGCCTTCCCCAAATTGCTGCCATGAAGTTGGAAACAGTTGTCTAAAACAAGGGTGTCAAACTGGGGGCCCTCCAGCTGTTTGCAAAACTGCAAGTCCCATCATGCCTCTACCTTTGGGAGTCATGCTTGTAACTGTCAGTCTTGCAATGCCTCATGGGACTTGTAGTTTGGCAACAGCTGGAGGGCCACCAATTGGACACAAAAGGTCTTTGAATGATGTAGCATCAACAGTACCCTTCACCGGAGACACCTCAACTCCATCATTTGGAAGGGGGCCTATAGACTTTTGGCCACATGGTATTAACCCTCTCTTACCCAATGTTATATTCGCAATAATGAACTTTCCTTTGTGTACTTTTACATTCCAGCAAACACATACCTACCTGAACCCCTTTATAGGACACTGTTTGCAGACTGAACACTTGGTCTGGTGTTTAACGGTCTCAGCCAACGTCACCCGATGTAAAACTGGAAGCCAAACCAAGGACTGCGGCTCCAGACATCCCCACTCCAGGAACTGAGATAATTCCAAAACGGTGGCACCGCTGGTCTATCAAAGAGTAAAAAAAAAAAAAAAAAAAGATTTTTTTCTGCATTGTATACAGTGTATATAGATTTAAAAGAAAAAAATGTCAAGAAGTAAGAAAAACATTTCATCTGTCGATCAAGAAAATAAAATGCAAATGGTAGTATGAGTATGGTCATTGCAACAGATTCAAAATGTGGTGAAATGGGCAATCTCTCTTTTACGGTGGAAGCAGCACAAGTCCCAGGACACATTTGCAAGTCCCAGGACACATTTGCAAGTCCAAGGACACATTTGGAAGTCATGGCAGTCCTAGGACACATTTGGAAGTCCAAGGACACATTTGCAAATCATGGCAGTCCTAGGACACATTTGCAAGTCCGAAGACACATTTGGAAGTCATGGCAGTCCTAGGACACATTTGGAAGTCCAAGGACACATTTGCAAAATCATGGCAGTCCTAGGACACATTTGCAAGTCCGAAGACACATTTGGAAGTCATGGCAGTCCTAGGACACATTTGGAAGTCATGGCAGTCCTAGGACATATTTGGAAGTCATGGATGTCCTAAAATACATTTGGAAGTCATGGAAGTCCTAGGACATGTATGGAAGTCATGGAAGTCCAAGGACACATTTGCAGGTCCAAGGACACATTTGGAAGTCATGGAAGTCCTAGGACACATTTGGAAGTCCGAAGACACATTTGCAAATCATGGCAGTCCTAGGACACATTTGGAAGTCATGGCAGTCCTAGGACACATTTGCAAATCATGGCAGTCCTAGGACACATTTGGAAGTCATGGCAGTCCTAGGACACATTTGGAAGTCATGGCAGTCCTAGAACACATTTGGAAGTCATGGCAGTCCTAGGACATATTTGGAAGTCCTAAAATACATTTGGAAGTCATGGAAGTCCTAAAATACATTTGGAGGTCATGGAAGTCCTAGGACATGTATGGAAGTCATGTAAGTCCAAGGACACATTTGCAGGTCCAAGGACACATTTGGAAGTTATGGAAGTCCTACGACACATTTGGAAGTTATGGAAGTCCTAGGACACATTTGGAAGTCATGGAAGTCATGGAAGTCCTAGGACACATTTGGAAGTCATGGAAGTCCTAGGACACATTTGGAAGTCATGGAAGTCCTAGGACACATTTGGAAGTCCTAGGACACATTTGGAAGTCCTAGGACACATTTGGAAGTCCTAGGACACGTATGGAAGTCTTAGGTCACATTTGGAAGTCATTGAAGTCTTAGGACAAATTTGGAAGTCCCAGAAGTCCCAGAACACGTTTGACTTCCATGACTTCCAAATGTGTCCTAGAACTTTCAAACGTATCCTAGGACACATTTGGAAGTCATGGAAGTCTTAGGACATATTTGGAAATCATGGCAGTCCTATGACATGTATGGAAGTCCTAGGACACATTTGGATGTCATGGAAGTCCTAGGACACATTTGAAAGTCATGGAAGTCCTATGACACGTATGAAAGTCCTAGACACATTTAGAAGTCATGGAAAGCTTAGGATATGTATGGAAGTCCAAGGACACATTTGCAGGTCCTAGGACACATTTGGAAGTCATGGAAGTCTTAGGACACATTTGGATGTCATGGAAGTCCTAGGAAATATTTGGAAGTCATAAAGGTCCTAGGAGACATTCGGAAGTCATGGAAGTCATAGGAGACATTTGGAAGTCATAAGACACATTTGGAAGTCATGTGTTGTAGAAGTCCTATGGCACATTTAGAAGTCAAAGAAGTCCTATGACACTTGCAGCGCTCCTCACTACCTGAAGAATAATTGAGCACTAAAAGTTTGAAGGGGTTTTAACTCTTCTTCTTCTTCAATCTAACAAAAACTAAATAAAAATACACTGTATATGTACTTAACACATACACATTAAGGCTTTTGGGGAGGGCTAGTCTCTGCTAATAAGAGGAAGAGAATTAGACACAATGTAGCAGCTCTGGAGTCTCCATGACAACTCAGATCTAATAGCATGAAGTCATCTCTGAAAGAATCTTTCTGGGAACAAAATAAACCAGAATAATAAGACTGAGGTTACATTTCACGCAGGGTGGCAGCCTTCAAGGTTACCGCGCAATTGTTAGATGAATACATTTTTCTACCGTTAATTTATAAACAGCCGCATATCATGAAGGTGGGAGATAATTGTCTCACCAAGACTAACAACTTGTAAAATTGGTGTGACAGTTGCTACAATGTAATAGACGGTCTCCTCACAGCTTGTTACACGTTGTTTGTTTCTTCCTTTCCCTGTTGCTAAAATGTCTAAGAAATCTGTGGTTTCTGCAGATTATAACTAGGTTTGAAAGTATATAAAAAAAAGAAAGAATCGGCTGGATCTCTAATTATTTTTTTGG